TATATATATATATATACACACACACACACACACACACACACACACACACACACACACATACATATATATGCGCGCAACTAATGAGTGGCAAGAAAACCAAATATTTACCCCACCTATCAATGTGCTTAGTTCCAAAATTTTAGGATGATTTGAAAACTGATGATCACGAATCTAAATGTAAAAACCTCAATTTAAATACCTTTTGCCAAATAACTACTAAAGCTGAAATCACATTGCAATTAAAATGAGCAAAAATGTGTAATCATATTATCATAGTGAAAATATCCATAAATACAATAAAAGGCAGCAGACAGCCTGACATCACTAAAGTATGTGAGAAAATTAGTGACCTGCATCCCCTGTAAAAATGGCCATATTTATGCAGTTAACAAAAACATGAACAAGGATATAAATTTCCACAAACAGAAACAGGAAAATAGCAAACAATAACATTAGAAAATGCTGACAGCGTTTGACTTCAACTAGCTTTTCAGCCATCATAAACACAACTCAATATTGGTAAGAAGAGTCAGTGATACTATGTGCCACCATCAGAAATAATCAGAGTAGGCTGTACCAGATTACTCAGATACTACGGGGAAACCCATGCTAACCCATGCTTGTGTTTTCTAGAAATGTAAACAGGAAGCTCGGAAATATTGGTATTTATTATTTAATGAAGAGGGGAGCTTTTCCATCACTAAGCTGTACTCATAGCTATACTGTGCAGCTATATGAGATACAGCTGAGTGAATGGAAAAAGTGTGAGTCCAGGACAGCTGGCTGTATTTTAAAGAAGCCTTATTGAGGATGCAGGAACAAACCATCCCAATGTGCAGAAAGAACAGCAAATATGGCAGGTGACAAACTTGAGCTGGATCTAATGTATCTGAAAGTGCTGAGAACTGGTTTATGTGATTGCACCATTAGCCATTATCTTTGAAAACTCATGGCAGGAGGTCCCAGACCTGGGGAAAGTCACAGCTTCTCCACATCTTAGTTTCTCTAGTTATAAAGTATGGACATATTATTTACCTTCCTTATAGTTGTATTGACAATGATTGTTAATAAGGCTCTTAAGATTCTTGGATAAAGCTTACAATGTACAGTAAGTGTAAAGTAATTGCAAAGTAAAACTATTAATCTACTCCTCTAATGAAGTTTATTTGCTAAGAAACTTTTGTCCTAATTGAAAAAAAAAAATCAGTGGGACAATATATATAAACCTAGGTAATATCACTATGTGTTCATCACTTAAAATAACGTATTTAATGTAATCTTAACTTCATTCTCAATCTTGACCATACAATAAGATTTAGGATGCTCTATACCTAAATCACTTTTGAAAATGGTGCCTTACATATTGTCAAAAATGTTACCCATGCTTCTTAGCTCAAGTGTTAATTCATTTAGAGACATAGTATTGCCTTGAGTATATTTTCCCTCAAACTTCTTAATGTTAATTTCTGTCATCATGCTTTAATGTACAGTAACTCACTTAATGCTGTGACTCAAGTAATCTTCAAACTCATAATTTCACATTGTGCTTATCCTCTCCAGCTTTTTTGTCACTTCTTTTTTGCATTTCTAAGAAAACTATTCACTTCCCTCAGTATTTTCTGTTCAGAATCTCTCCCCTTTTCCACTTGCAAGTCTGTAATTGCAGTGAAAAGGGAGCTTACCTTAAATAGTCACTCTTATATCAAGAGACATACATCAGAATTAACTTTGAGATTGCAGGCACAAGCTATGACATGGCACTGTGAGCAGCATGTATTCACCTCCTACACTGATGAGCAGTTTTTGTTTTTTAAGATGCTATTTTGGAGGTTAATTTTCCACTTAAAATGAACTCTCAGATGGAATATAAATGAGGAACATATATTAGTTAATCAAATCAAGCTTATTATAATCTCAAAATATCTCTCCCACAGTTTTCCACAACCAAACCTTGCATTTCTAACACTGGCCACTAATAAGAAATTTCAAAATATATTTATTTTTCAAAGCAGTTTTAGTAGCCAACAAATACATGAAGCCTTTCCAACCTTTAGATCCAGTGAACAGAAGATCATCAGTAGAATCAACACAAAGCACAGCCTTGGTATGCCCCTCAGCTATATGAATACATTGAAGTGCTGCGGATCTGATGCATTTTGAAGCAGGGAATGGGTTGATTATGCCCCTAAAGAAAAAATGAAATATGAGTTAGCTATAGCAATGTAAATCACTTATTTCCACACATCTGTGGAGGTCAATGTTTATTTTTCCCGCGTTATTTCCTATAGTCTTACAGGGAAATACATTAACATTAACATATTTTGGCATAGGACAACTGAATTTGTCTTCTATAAATTCTGCATTTATTTTTCTTATTCAGCTTTATAAAGCCTTCATGTTGTGCTGTTTTTTAAATGAAACCACATAGAATTCAATAGATATGATACTCCAGCACACCAGATTGTGTGATGGGGGTATAAGAGAACCAGTCACAGTTCTTTGATTCTCAGGGTCACCAAAGAATGACTTAAAGCTGTGCTTAGGATGCTTTAATATGTGCACAGAGGTAAGGTCCTTGTAGGATTGGAGAACTGGCATTACAGAATTTTACCATGCTGCAAAAGAGAAACTGAGCTGTGGCACAGACACCTCACAAGCCCCACTACACCAGGATATTCTCTACTGGGTATGTATATCTGGATTGTCTGAATGACACAAAAGGTTTGTACTCCAGCCTGAGAATCTAACCCCAGGTACTCTATCATTAAATGATCATGATTAACTGCTCAAACCTCAGCTGAATATGAACTGCCACATTGCAACACACCCATCATGCCACATATTCCAATGTCCACTGCTAGGTGCTTTAGAGGAAGGCATAAAATTCAACAGTGCTGTTCATTAAGCAACAATCTACAATGCAGAGAAACTTACCACCCCCACCTGGTGGGAAGTTTATATATTGCAGCCTTTGTAATGTTACTCTGTCATGTCACTACAGAGGCTATTCTTTGTTGTATGAACTTACTATGTCTAATCTTACTAATATATGTGCCTCAAGTTATCCCATGACACATTCTGTAAAAGATATTTCCTTTTATCTGTATTAAATGTGCAGAATTATAATTTTACAGAATGTTCTCTAGGTCATACATTATAATATCAGAGAAAAGTAGGGCTGGTAAAAACCTTGAGGAGTCATCAAAACCATCCCTGATAAGTCTGTCCAACCTGTTTTTAAAAACTTCCAATGAAGAGGATTCCCTACCATCCATCGGAAGCCTGTTCAAGACCTTAACAACTTTTATAGTCGAAGTTTTTCCTCAAATCTAACCCAAATCGCCATTACTGCAAAGTAAGTCCATTACTACTTGTTCTACCTTTAGGGGACATGGAGAACAATTCATGAATGTCTTCTTTATAATGGCATCTTTAAACAGTCCTGTACAGGCAGTCCCCGACTTACGCGGATCCGACTTATGTCGGATCCGCACTTACGAACGGGGCTTTCTCGCCCCGGAGGTCGAGGTAGCGGATTGTTACCTGCGAGCTCCGGGGGAGAAAGCCCCGTTCATAAGCTGCTCGGGTGCCCCTGGTCTGCTGGAGACCGTCTCCAGCAGACCAGGGGCACCGGGCGGGTT